GCCCATGACAACTGTTTTTGTTCATGAGCTCAACTTTCCATTTGTTAATTATAATAAGTTAATTATAGTTAACCTATTTAACCTCATCAATTAGTTCTAAATTTGTGTAGCTATTTTTTTTTTTATAAAAAAATAAAAAAATTAAAGAGTAATTTATTAAAAATTATACGGAATGGTGATTAAGCTGTGCAGCTAATTAACTATATGTGTAGTAGTGATATAGATGGTAAGCTGATGACAAATTTTAAGCTCAAGTAATTGGTTTTGATAATTAATATATTTGTGTTAGGTTTAATTTATTACGCGAAATAAATTGATTTATACCCACAAAATATGCAAAAAAAAAAAAAAAAAAAGAAATTAGAAATTAAAAATTAAAAAGGTTTTGTTTTTTAATTAAAAAATTAAGCTCTGTTGGAATAAAACTCAAAAAAGTATCTCAAGATTCGGATATTTTATGGAAAAAAACCCATGAAGGCGCAGAGATAGAAATATTAAAACATGAGTCAACCCAGAAATCTACTAGCATAATATATATATATATATATATATATAAACAACACTTGTTAAGTTATTTTATAAGAAGTCTTTTGTTTTTCTTATTTTTGTATCTATTCTTCAAGAGAGTTTTAATATAATTATCATTATTATTGTAAAGTCTTAAGCTCTCTTACTTTTCCTTTTTTTTTTTAAAAAAAAAAAATTACTTATATTAATGAATTAAGACCCAGTAAAATATTAAGTACAGACTATTTAATACTAGTAGATAAAATTTCAAGCCAGTTGTTTGAGTAAAAAAAGTATATATTTTAAATGGTGGGTTAATCCTTATAAATTCAGTTTGTATTTCTTTCTGCATTTTAATTGATGTAATTATATTCTTTCCATAAAGATTTTGATGTATCATACAAAATTATTATACTGATTGAAAATTAAAAAAAATAAAAAATAAAAAAACCCATATTGGCAAACGATTATTTACTTTTGCCCATCAGTGTCAATTCTACTTACTTTTTATCATTTTATAACATATATTTTTATTGTCAAAATTTTATTATATTTTGTTTTACCAAATTCTCTCGGAGAACACATGAATTTAAGAGTTATTAGTCATGAATTAGTGATATTTTAATCATAAAGTAGTGGTGACTTAATTTTAATAATTATGAGTTAGTGGGTTAGTGGTTACTTATTTTTTCTAAATTCTATTTTTTTTTTATTTAAACTGATTGAATTCATAAGTAAAAATAACTTAAGTTTCAGATCAATTCTTCTATTCAGTTTGTATTACTATATTTCTACATCTAGTATCAAAGTCGAAAAAAGAAAAAAAAAATGCAATTTTTTTATTATGCAACAAAGTAAGTAGCAATAGCATCAGAGACTAATTATGTGTAATATGCGATCATTCGTTTTGATGATCATTATGATCATTGGAGTATGTTGATGGAGAATTTTCTCCGATCCAAAAAAATACTGGAATGTCGTGGAAACAGGAGTAACTGAATTAAGTGACGTTGACAGAATCTCAACATAAAAAACTAAAACAACAAAAACTAAAAGATCTCTAGACAAAGAATTATCTATTTTAAGTAATGGATAATGTCATTTTAGAGATGATTCTCTAAAAAAATACTTGCAAATAGATTTGGAATTTTATAAAGAAAAAATATCAAGGCATAATAAAGGTAAAACGACAGCAGCTTCAAGCCATTCGCAAATAATTTGAAAAATTTTCACATGAAATACTGAGAGTCTGTTGATGAGTATTTCTCAAGAATCCTGGGCATAGTAAACAAGATGCATATTCATGGTGAAAAAATAGAAGGTCTCGTTGTGGTGGATAAGATTCTTATATCAATGGCTCCAAAATTCTCTTATGTTGTATGTTCTATTGAGGAGTCAAAAAACTTTGATGAGCTTTCAATTGATGAATTGTAAAGTTTATTACTTTTGCATGAGCAGAGAATGACAATAACTCCAACCGAGGAGCAAGCCTTAAAGGCTTCAACTCATAGTGGAATTTCTACAAGGAGAGGATCAAGTGACTGTGGTCGAGACCGTGGATGTGGACGAGGAAGAGGCAGAGGTATTAACACATCGAATCTTAAGAGAGAGGTAGATGAACTGATCATCACAATGAAGCAAAATTTAACCAGTCCAATATTAAGTGTTATCATTGTCACAAGTTTGGTTATTACAAGTCTGAATGCATTGCGAACTTACATTCTAACAAAGAGTAGTATAACTTTGTAGAGAAAAAAGAACAAGAAACACTTTTGATGGCTTTTTCACATCAAAGAAGACTAGTATGAATAAGATATCTGGTACTTGGACACAAGATGCAATAATCATATATGCCGCAGTAAGTCATTTCTCTCTCGTTTAAATGAACATTTTATACTAATGTGAGTTTTGGTGATCATTTCAAAGTTAGTGTTATGGAGAAACAGTGATGTTTAAATCATGACTAAAGAAAACAATATTGAGACTATATCAAATACCTTTTATATTCTTGACTTGAAAAGTAACTTGCTAAGTGCAAGATAGTTACAAGAAACAAGTTATTAGGTTCTAATCAAAGAAGGAGCTTGTGAAGTCTACGACCCTAAAAAGGGTCAATTGCTCATGGGAGATGACACCAAACATGTTGTTTCCGTTGCGAATCTATACCATCCATACTTGTTTTATGGCCAAGATGAACGATCCACCATGGCTTTGATATTTTCATTATGACAACCTAAACTTTAATGGATTGAAGACTTTTTTCTCAAAAGAACATGGTGATTGGCCTACCTTAGATTGTTCCCCCTTCTAAACTATATGAAGAATGTGTTATTGGCAAGCAACTTCGAGAACAATTTTCAAAAGAAAAGACATAAAGAGCTCAGAAATCACTAAAGCTGATTCACTTTGACATTTGTGGTCCTATTAATCTTATATCAAATGACAAAAAATATTTTATTTTGTTTTATTGATGATTATTGTCAAAAGACATGAGTCTATCTTTACAAAAAAAATCTGAAGCTTTGATGACATTTAAGAATTTTAAACCTCAAGTGGAGAATGAAGTAGGGACAAGTATTAAAACACTTCGCATTGACCGTACTGGTGAATACATGTCCTACAAATTCTTAAAATTTTGTAATAAGTAGAAAATTCGGAGGTGTAAATGACAACAACTTATACACCATAATAAAATAGTGTAATAGATAAAAAAAATCGAACCATCCTAAACATGGTTAGAAGCATGGTGACAAATGAAAGAGTTCCAAAGCAATTCTAGCCAGAAGTGGTAAATTAGAGTATTCATATTTTGAATTAGAGTCCCACACTTGTTGTTCAAAATATGACACTTAAAGAAGCTTGGAGCGAACATAGACCAATCGTTGATTACTTTTAGATTTTTGGGTGCATTGTATATACACATATTCCAAATGAGAATAAAAAGAAGCTAGATGACAAAGGCAAAAAATGAATTTTTCTTGGAATCAGTGAATAGTCAAAAGTTTATAAACTGTTCAGTCCTATCACATGTAAAATTATTATAAGTCAAGATGTTATTTATGATGAAGAAAATACATGGAATTGGTTTGGAAAAGATACAGGTTAGCAACAAATATCTGTGAATTTTGAAGAAAAAAAGAAGTAGAAATACAGGGGCAAACAACTTTCTTTGACATTCATCGGCTACAACAACAACCACTTAATGATAATGAGATCCATATAGTAGGTGAAAACTCACGATCTCAACGAATCAGAAAGAGACCAATATAGATGGATGATTATGAGGTTAGTAGTGTTCAATATAATGATACTCTTATTCATTATGCTTTATTATCAAATTGTGATCCAATAATATTCTAAGAAGGTGTCAAAAATATAATATGGTAAAAAGTAATGGATGATGAGATAAGGTCTATTAAGAAAAACAACACATAAAAACTGATAGAACTTCTGAAAGTAAAAAATGTATTGGTGTAAAATGGGTTTACAAAACTAAGTTAAACAAAAATGACAAAGTTGACAAGTATAAAGTTCGGCTAGTCGCAAAGGGATACAAGCAGAAATATAACATTGATTACAAGGAAATTTTTACCCCAGTTGCTAGGCATGATATAATTTGAATGATGATGGCTTTAGCATCACAAAATGCTTGATCTAATTGGCAATTGGACATGAAATCAGCACAAAATGCTTGATCTAATTGGCAATTGGACATGAAATCAGTCTTTCTATATGAAAATTTAAATGAACAAATTTTTTGATCAACCACCTAGTTATGTGAAATAAGAAGTGAAAAAAATGCGTACAGGTTAAATAAAGCTTTATATGGGCTAAAACAAACATCTCAAGCTTGGTATAATTGTATAAATTTTTATTTTACT